AGGCTGTTACATCGTGACATAGGCTGCTACATTGTGACAGAGGCTGTTACATTGCGACATAGGCTGCTACATCGTAACAGAGGCTGTTACATCGTGACATAGGCTGCTACATTGTGACAGAGGCTGTTACATTGCGACATAGGCTGCTACATCGTAACAGAGGCTGTTACATCGTGACATAGGCTGCTACATTGTGACAGAGGCTGTTACATTGCGACATAGGCTGCTACATCGTAACAGAGGCTGCTACATCGTGACAGAGGCTGCTACATCGTGACAGAGGCTGCTACATCGTGACAAAGGCTGTTACATCGTGACATAGGCTGCTACATCGTGACAGAGGCTGCTACATCGCGACAGAGGCTGCTACATCGTGACATAAACTGCTAAATCGTGACATAGGCCGCAACATCGTGACAGCAGTTAATATATCGTGACTGACGCATCACCATGAGTGTTATTCTCGTTGTAACCAGCATCTGTGTGGCCGTCACCATGGCAGCCTATCTGTCTCACACCCCAGTGCCCCCTAACAGGTCAGCAGCGGCTAGTCTGGGTCTGTGTTCACCTCGGGATAGAGCGTCCGAGCGGCTGTTTCTCATGAGCAAGGATGTAAGGATCCCGCCCGCCCGCGCCTCGCTTAACCTCAGCGGCGTTCACCTGAAGGTGGCACTGTGGTCGTGTAGTAACAACACCGAGATCACTCTGGGATCGCGAGTTCTCCAAGAGCTGTCTACGTTCATGTACTTCACTTACACCGTCACGGCACGCTGCTACGGCTTCAACGGCATAGTCGCCGGGATGGCCGCGGGAGAGATAGACATGGCAGCGTATCTGCGAATTACGGAGCAACGTCAGAGATTCGTCAGCTTTCTGCATCCACTCGCCGAGTCCCGTTACAGCTTCGTGATCCGGGCCGAGAGGGTGCGAGAGGTGGCGCCACTAACGATACTCGCTCCTTTCCACTATAGCACGTGGCTGTTCGTGTTTGGTTACTTGCTTGCTTGTGTAGCGACGTTAACGCTGTACGAGGTGTGGAGAACCCCGGGTCAAGGGAGAAAGCCCGGGAGAGCAGAGAGGAGCTGGATGGAGGCGAGCGGCAGGTACGTGATGTTCAAGCTGGGATCCGTGCTGCAGCAGGGCGGCACGTATAACGCTGTCGACATGCCGTCACGGATGCTGGTCGGATGGTGGTGGCTGTTTGCTTTGGTCATTACAGCGACCTACTCTGCCACGCTGGTCAGCCATCATTCGATAAAAACCATCAACCCTTTTCCGTTTACTTCACTGCAAGAGGCCACCACCAGTCCCCTGGCACCGCTCGTCTATCGCGGCCAATCGGAAGAACAGCTTCTTTCCACTAGTGACCCCGAATCTGACCTTGGCCGCTTGTGGCGCCGCTTAGTTGACGACGGAGGATTCGTCGATTTAGAAGAGGAGGCGTACGAGCGCGTGTTGTCCGGTGGTTACAGCTTAATCAAGGACGAGGCCATCTCCATCCAGTTTTTCGCCAGAGATTACAAGCAGCACGGCTACTGCCGCTATACCCTGGCTCCCGTCTACTTCTACCCCGGATACCGAGGCCTCGCCGTGCCCAAGCACTTTCCTTACACGAAGCAGCTTAACTACGGCATTCAGACGTTGTACGAGCGAGGATTCATCAAGGAATGGAGCAGGAACGCGTTGCCAGAGGGCGCTCACCACTGCCTCCACTTTCCCCCGCCCGCCGTCGCCGCCGGCACGCTTGCCCTCCGTCAGCTGCAGCCCGCTTTCATAATGTTAGCCACAGGCTTAGGTGTCGCCACCGTCTGTTTCCTGCTGGAGGTTGCTGCCCGCTTCGCTGCGCCACGGAACGCGATCTGCGCCACAGGTGACGCCAGTAGCGCAAATGTGAGCAGTGTAGGTGGCGCCACCGAGACTCGCATCCCGCTCTCGAGCTTTCGTAGCTGCTCCGGCTGCAACAGACACTAAAGTAACGAAGCTTTACTCGCTTGTTCTCTGCTGTTCTTGGCTCTAAGATTTGCCTTACTAGAAAAAAAGTTACTGCAATTGGGGCAGTCGTACATTGGATTTTTTTGCCCATATTCGGTCAAAGTCTTTGGGAACATTGTTAATTATGCATAGTTCTAGATGCATATTGATGTTAGCGCCCGATCGTGAGATTTAGCCTATAGTATATTATAACCAATAAGTTGTTAAATCCGTCGATTTAAATAATCATATATCCGTTCTTCAAACATCAATTGTCATTAGATCAATTCAAAAATCAAATATCAACTTCAATAATCCTTCTTCAAATTCACATAATATTTTATGTTATGCACAGTAAGATATCATGTTATGCTTGTCGACGTCATAATTATATATAAACGTTGTGCTGGTTCTCCGTAGTCAAAACGTATTACGTTATCGTTGCTAAACCCCAGCGGCATTTGTTCACTCCACATTATGTGTGTGTGTGTCCGTGCGTGCGTCTGTGTGTGTGTGTGTTTGTGTGTGTGTGTGTGTTTGTGTGCGCGTTGTGTGTGTGTGTGTGCGCGCGCGTGTGTGTGTGTGCGTGGTTGCGTGTGCGTGCGCGTCTGTGTGTGTATGTGCCTAACTGATCAACGTCGGTAGTTATAGAGACCTTCACCCCGCGCTGTGATTGATTTATTAATTATAGTATTGTATTGCGTGGCGAGAGAGCTTGTGTGTGTGTGTGTGTGTGTGTGTGTGTGTGTTGTGTGTGTGTGTTCTGGTGCGATGGGTGTGTGTCGTGTGTGTGTGTGTGTGTGTGTACTGTGTGTGTGTGTGGTGTGTGTGGTGTGTGTAATGTGTGTGTGTGTGTGTGTGTGTGTGTGGTCGGTGTGTAATGTGTGTGCGAGTGTGTGTGTGTGTGAGGGGAGCATGCACGCGCGCCGCGAGAGTTGTGTGCCGCAACACAGATCAGCAGTGGCAGAAGGCGCCTAGAAAGCTGCACATCATGAAGATAATGCTGGCTGGCCATCGTGACAGAGTTGCTACATCGTGACAGAGGCTGCTGCATGCGTGACAGAGGCTGCCTACATCGTGACAGAGGGCTGCTACATGCGTAACAGAGGCTGCAAATCGTGACAGAGGTTGATATATCGTGAGAAAAAAAAAAGCAGAGGCTGCTAAAATCGTGACAATAGGGCGCGCTAAGCAAATCGTGAACATGAGGCTGCTACACGGTCCGTCAGCAGAGCGGTTCATCGTGACCAGCGCAGGCGAGGTATAGTGTGACCAAAGGCTGCTAATATCGTGGCAGAGGCTACTGCATTGTGAACAGGAAGGCTGCTGCGATCGTGACAGAGGGCTGTTACAACATCGTGACAGAGGCGTGCTACATCGTGAACAGAGGCTGGCTACATCGTGACAGATGCTGCTACAATCGTGACAGAGGCTGCTATATGCGCGTGACAGAGGCTGCAACATTGTGACAGAAGGTTGCTACATCGTGACAGAGGCTGTTACTTCGCTGACAGCAGTTGATATATCGTGACAGAGTGTTGCTAGCATCGTGACAGGAGGCTGCTATATCGTGATAAACAGTTGATATATCGTGGACAGAGGCTGCGACATCGTGAGCAGAGGCTGCTAACACCGTAACAAGAGGCTGCTACATCGTGACAGAGGCGCTATTACACTCGTGAACAGAGGCTGCTACATCATGACATAGGCTTGCTACATCGTGACTTGAGGCTATTACATCGTGACATAGGCTGGCTACATCGTGACAGAGGCTGCTACAAATCGTGATAGAAGGCTGCTACATCGGTGACAGAGGCTCCCTACAATCGTGACAGAGGCTGCTACAGAACAGCGTGATAGAAGGCTGCTAGCTACATCGTACAGGAGGCGCTACAGGCAACTATGCTAACATTGTGGCAGAGGCTGCTAGACAAGATCGTGACAAGAGGCCTGTTACAATCTGTGATAGAGGCTGCTACAATCCGTGACAGAAGGCTGCTACACAACTTGTGGCAGAGGGCTNAAAACATGAGCAAGCGTTGCCGACATCGTCGTCGCTGTCGTCGTGGCGATGTGACGCTTCATTTATACCCCATCCGAACACTAGCGTTTCTTCTTCTTCTTCTTCTTCTTCTTCTTCTTCTTCTTCTTCTTCTTTTCTCCTTCTTTTTCTTCTCCTTCTCCTTCTTTTTCTTCTTCTTCTTCTTCTTCTTCGTCTTATTTTCGGGTCACTACAATACACTCGACCACATAATGAGCTGTTGTGTAGTTTGGTAGAAGGATTCGCACGCTAACGCTCACTCACACGCACCCAGCGCTCACTAGCACCTTGCTTGCGCAGCGATCATACCGACAGACCTTCTGCGCGAATCCAGTCGCAATGTGTATCGATGGGTGTGTTTGAAGTTGCTCCACGACGATGGTGCCATGCGAGAAGGGTTTGAGCGATGTAGAGCGAATAGTCGCGGATTGGCGTGCTGTTTCCGCCGCCGCCGCCGCTGCCGCATTATGTATGATATGCCCATCAAACGCTAGCCGCATAGATGCCGTCTGCTAGTGCATTCTCTCGCATGTGCCAAGCTTTGATTGCGTTCGATTTTTTTTTCGCTGATCGATCACGATAAAATGTTGCGTGTGATCATCGTTGTTGTCGCTCTAGCTACTTGGCTTTGCTTTGCGGACCAACCTTTGCGCGAGCACTACCGATTACGACGTCCCATGTAGCAGTCCTATGTCAATCAATCACCGGTGGGCGGGGTTCCGACCCTCCGAACTAGGAGGGACCGAGAGCACTTAAATTCGAGGCCCTATGTCTTTAGGTCCATCGCACATCACAGCAATGCGATCGCGTATGTTGCATCCAAGGCGTTACATCTTTACCATCTTTAACCGAGCTGTATAGGCAGCTACACATCTGTACACCTTTAACCGAGCTGTGTAAGCAGCTACACATCATACAGCTTTATATCTTCAACCAAGCTGTAACCAAGCTATAAACAGCTACACATCTTTACATCTTTAACCGAGCTGTCTAAGCAACTACACATCATACTGCTTCACAATCTTTAACCAAGCTGTAAACAGCTGCACATCTTTTCATCTTTACATCTTTAACCAAGCTGTAAACAGCTGCACATCTTACATCTTTACATCTTTACATCTTTACATCTTTAACCAAGCTGTAAACAGCTGCACATCTTACATCTTTACATGATGGGGGAGACCGAGAGCACTTAAATTCGAGGCCCTATGTCTTTAGGTCCATCGCACATCACAGCAATGCGATCGCGTATGTTACATCCAACGCGTTACATCTTTACAATCTTTAACCGAGCTGTATAGGCAGCTACACATCTGTACATCTTTAACCGAGCTGTCTAAGCAGCTACACATCATACAGCTTTACATCTTATATCTTTATATCTCTACATCTTCAACCAAGCTGTATAAGCGGCTACACATCTTATATCTTTATATCTCTACATCTTCAACCAGGCTGTATAAGCAGCTACACATCATACATCTTATATCTTATATCTTTATATCTCTACATCTTCAACCAATCTGTATAAGCGGCTACACATCATACATCTTATATCTTATATCTTTATATCTCTACATCTTCAACCAATCTGTATAAGCGGCTACAAGTCATACAGCTAGTTGAGTTACCGCGGTAGACGATGATGGCAGACAATCAGATGACGCTGCTGTCGCGCTACCTCCCTGCTCGTGCCCCGTGCACCCACCGACCTCCGACACAGCGACAACCTCCTCTGCGGCAGTGGCGCCCCCTGCGTCGCCGACATCATTGTGCAGTTGTGCGCAGTTGATGACACACTCTACGAGCAGGCAGAATGTGGCGCCACCTAGCCCAGCGCCAAGAACGAGAAACACGTGGTAGAGGCGTGGTAAGAATATTGGCAGCGACAGCTGGCTTAGAAAAACGCAGGCATTGGTCAGCGCCTTCTGGCAACGCGTTCTTGCTCCATTTCTTGATGAATCCTCGCTCGGCCAACGACATAATGCCGTATATAATGTAGTAGTTAAGTTGCTCCGTGTAAGGAAAGTGCTTGGGCACGGCGAGGCCTCCGTATCCAGGGTAGAGGATATAATATCCCATATCATATCCCAGATATAACTCATTGTGGTTAGAGCACGACCACAGCGCCACCTTCAGGTGAACGCCGCTGAGATTGATCGAGGCGCGGGCGGGCGGGATCCTTACATCCTTGCTCATGAGGAACAGCCGCTCGGACGCTCTATCCCGAGGTGAATCTGGGAATAGATTGGTTTGTTTCGGACTTTTATTTGACGTATGGTTACCAGATGGATGAGTTGCCATGGTGACAGCAACGCACAACGTGGTTACGGTGACGTGAATAATTATCATCATAATTTTGCAGCGGCGCCTATAACAATGTGGTAGCTTTTGTTACGATTTTCCAGCCTCTGTCACAGTGTAGCAGTCTCTGCCACAATGTAGCGATATCTGTCACAATGTAGAAATATCTGTCGCGATGTAGCAGCCTTCTTCACAATCTATCAATACCTGTCACGATGTAGCAATATCTGTCACGATGTAGAAGACTCCGTCACTATGTAGCAGCCTCTGTAACGATGTTGCAGCCTCTGTCACAATGTANTGAAGTACATGAACGCTTAGACAGCTCTTGGAGAACGCGCGATCCAAGTTGAAAACTCAGTGCTGGTAGAGCACGACCACAGCCGCACCTTCAGGTGAACGCGCTTGAGTGATTGGAGCGAGGCGCGGCGGGCGGGATCCTTAACACCTGCTCACGAGGAACAGTCGCTCGCACGCTCTATCCGAGGTGAACACAGGGCCGAATCAGCAGCTGATGCACCCGTTAGAGGGCGCTGGGTGGTGAGACCAGATTGGGCTGCCATGGTGACGGCACACAGACGCTGGTTACAGCGAGAATAACAACGTCATGGCTGATGGCGGTCAGTCACGATATATCGAACTGCCGCTGGACGAT